CTTGTTTGAGAGAGGAAAAGAAAAAGAAAGATGAACCAAACTGCTGCTGTTTACAACTTGTACTTGAAGTATAGCATATAAAAAGGTATTGAAACCCTCCATACCTTGGCCTTTCTGAGCAGCTGTTGCAGCTCTTGTTGGGGCAGCAGGCCGTGGTTTTTGACAAAAGCAGGCACCTCTGGAGGGCGCTGTGTCTCATAATAGACAGTCCCATGGATCTCCATGTAGCGGTGCAAAATGGCCAGGAACTTTTCCTTACCCTACGGGGCAATGGAACAAATGGTTAGGACAGACTGGGAACACAGTATAATCAATCTATCCACCCCAAATATGCAGAATGTAACTAGTTCTTTAACCAATAGTGTATGAGTTCAAAGTCCTTCTCAAAAATAAAGCTATGTTCAGTGTGTTGGTTACAGGCATAACCAAGACGGGGGCAAACATGTTATTCATGACATTGGCTGTCAGCCTCTTCCACTTAAGAGATTCCTCCATATGATCTGTGTCACCCTCCTGGGACTGAAGAGCAAGAGAGAATGTGCTCAACCTGTGAAGACTACAGTAGCATGGAGGTCATCTCTCAGAAGAGTTAAAACCCCTTGACTGACAGGCCTCTCACCCTGGAGAGCTTCTGATTGGCCCAGGGCAGTGTGAACAGAATCCTGTGTGACTGACTGTTACTAGGAGTAGTGGGGTGGCTACTGTAGCCTCTGGTGTATACAAGTGGAGGCTCCTCAGGAGGAAGGGGAGGACCATCCTCCTCAGTGAATTTCATAAAAATATATATTTTTAAACACTTAAAAAGTTATCATTTTTAGATAAAACTATATTAAATATAATTACGTCACCAAATAATTGAATAAAACACACTATTTTGTAAAGAAGGTCTGCAGAGCCTCCAAAGCACTCTGTAGGGTAGCACCATAGTATAGCCGGAGGACAGCTAGCTTCCGTCCTCCTCTGGGTACATTGACTTCAATACAAAACCTAGGAGGCTCATGGTTCTCACCCCCTGCCATAGACTTACACAGTATTTAGGACAACTTCCGGAGGACGTCCTCCAACCTATCAGAGCTCTTGCAGCATGAACTGACATGTTGTTAGCATTGCAGTGCATAAAATGTGGTGAGTAGTTGACTCAAAGAGAGAGAAAGACAATAGTTGAACAGTTTTTAACAAACTAATTTATTACAAAATGGAGAAGTATGAGAGAAAGAGTGTCATTTTTTTCCACTTTCAGTTTCTAGCTAGTTCAGCCTACTGAAACACCCGCCTCAAACAGAGGGATGCTATGTTAGCTAGCTGGCTATGTCTATCCAACACAACAATGGAACTCTTCCTAGTCAAGGTAAGCTTTTGGTTTTACTAATTTATTGCCACCGGGGCCGCCGGTGTAACTGCTTACTGACTGTACACTAACGTTACTGCATGATTGTAGCGGGTTTACTAACATGTTAGTTCTATTAGCTATGCTGACTATGACGTTACTTTAGCAAATATGGTGACAACGATGTAGGCTGTGTGTAGCGGTTTGGCTTGGAAAGGTTTTTTCGTCTGGTCACATACAGCTGATGTGTTGTGCATTGAAGTCCACAAGCGAAGGGAAGAGGTGAAAGGAGGAGAGCGCATAGATGCGAGAAGGAATACAACGTGGCTGCTATGAAAGTGAACTGTCAGTCCATGTGTCACTGTCTGTCACCTAAAATGTGTCTCTCGACCTGTGTGAACCTACGGCACTGACCGCCACTGGTGCATACAGACTGGCATAGCCAATTAGAGGGGTGATCTGATTTCCTTCACCAAGCAACAGCAACACCAGGGGCAAATTACATGAGAATGGCCTGAGTGTGAAGAGTAAGCATGGGTTTCACCTTGGCTACAGCAGCACACTGGTCACTGATCATAGAGATGTAATGGGTAAGCAGATGAGCTGACCTGCACTCATTATTACTAACTAATACAATCAGGCCACAGCAATCAGGCCACACTGAGAATGTACCTGTAGAATTTATACACAAATAAGGAATAAATAAATAAAAACACCATGTCTTTTTGTATTGCCCTAGAGGAGATGATTAGTCAACTTTGGTAATTATCCCATGAAAACCATAGGATATAATTAATTATTTCCTCAGTCAAGTCTTTAATATATTAATCATTCACATTGTTGCACCTCATTTTTTCATATTGGACCAGTTTGATTTTTCAGAAGATCAAACATAAGACGAAAGTAATATACCTTTTCTTGTTCTCTAGTTTCAGTTGAAGTCGGAAGTTTACATACACTTAGGTTGGAGTCATTAAAACTCGTTTTTCAACCACTCCACAAATGTCTTGTTAACAAACTATAGTTTTGGCAAGTCGGTTAGGACATCTACTTTGTGCATGACACAAGTAATTTTTCCAACAATTGTTTACAGACAGATTATTTCACTTATAATTGTCACAACTTCCGCCGAGGCTGCCTCCCCTTCTTGTTCGGGCAGGTTTTGGCGTTCGTCGTCACCGGCTTACTATCTACTGCCGATCCCATTCTCATCACTCCACTTGTCATGTCTTGTCAATCACACACACCTGGTGCTCATTCCCCTAATTAGTATGTGTATAAGTGTTCCCTCTGTTCCCCTTGTCTTTGTGAGTGATTGTTTATTGTGAGAGCGAGTAGCTTGGTTGAGCTACTCTTCTATTTGTACTTGCCAAGGTGGAATATTTTCCCTTGTATTAGTTTTGTTTTCATGCTGGGAGCGTTTGATTTATGTAAACGGAATAAACTCTGGACTTCGGTGTTTTACCTCCTGCGCCTGACTCCTTCATTCACACCTCGTCACAATAATTCACTGTATCACAATTCCAATGGGTCAGAAGTTTACATACACTAAGTTGACTGTGCCTTTAAACAGCATGGAAAATTCCAGAAAATGATGTCATGGCTTTAGAAGCTTCTGATAGGCTAATTGACATCATTTGAGTCAATTGGAGGTGTACCTGTGGATGTATTTCAAGGCCTACCTTCAAACGCAGTGCCTCTTTGCTTGACATCATGGGAAAATCAAAAGAAAAAAAAAAAATGGTAGACCTCCACAAGTCTGGTTCATCCTTGGGAGCAATTTCCAAACGCCTGAAGGTACCACGTCCATCTATACAAACAATAGTACGCAAGTATAAACACCATGGGACCACGCAGCCTTCATACCACTCAGGAAGGAGGCGCGTTCTGTCTCCTAGAGATGAACGTACTTTGGTGCGAAAAGTGCAAATCAATCCCAGAACAACAGCAAAGGACCTTGTGAAGATGCTGGAGGAAACAGGTACAAAAGTATCTATATCCACAGTAAAACAAGTCCTATATCGACATAACCTGAAAGGCCGCTCAGCAAGGAAGAAGCCACAGCTCCAAAACCGCCATAAAATAGCCAGACTACGGTTTGCAACTGCACATGGGGACAAAGATCATACTTTTTGGAGAAATGTCATCTGGTCTGATGAAACAAAAATAGAACTGTTTGGCCATAATGACCATCGTTATGTTTGGAGGAAAAAAGGGGTAGCTTGCAAGCCGAAGAACACCATCCCAACCGTGAAGCACGAGGGTGGCATCATCATGCTGTGGGGGTGCTTTGCTGCAGGAGGGACTGGTGCACTTCACAAAAAACAAAATACAGTGGGGAAAAAAATTATTTAGTCAGCCACCAATTGTGCAAGTTCTCCCACTTAAAAAGATGAGAGAGGCCTGTAATTTTCATCATAGGTACACGTCAACTATGACAGACAAATTGAGGAAAAAAAATCCAGAAAATCACATTGTAGGATTTTTAATGAATTTATTTGCAAATTATGGTGGAAAATAAGTATTTGTCACCTACAAACAAGCAAGATTTCTGGCCTCACAGACCTGTAACTTCTTCTTTAAGAGGTCTCTCTGTCCTCCACTTGTTACCTGTATTAATGGCACCTGTTTGAACTTGTTATCAGTATAAAAGACACCGTGTCCACAAACCTCAAACAGTCACACTCCAAACTCCACTATGGCCAAGACCAAAGAGCTGTCAAAGGACACCAGAAACAAAATTGTAGACCTGCACCAGGCTGGGAAGACTGAATCTGCAATAGGTAAGCAGCTTGGTTTGAAGAAATCAACTGTGGGAGCAATTATTAGGAAATGGAAGACATACAAGACCACTGATAATCTCCCTCGATCTGGGGCTCCACGCAAGATCTCACCCCGTGGGGTCAAAATGATCACAAGAACGGTGAGCAAAAATCCCAGAACCACACGGGGGGACCTAGTGAATGACCTGCAGAGAGCTGGGACCAAAGTAACAAAGTCTACCATCAGTAACACACTACGCCGCCAGGGACTCAAATCCTGCAGTGCCAGACGTGTCCCCAGTACATGTCCAGGCCCGTCTGAAGTTTGCTAGAGTGCATTTGGATGATCCAGAAGAGGATTGGGAGAATGTCATATGGTCAGATGAAACCAAAATAGAACTTTTTGGTAAAAACTCAACTCGTCGTGTTTGGAGGACAAAGAATGCTGAGTTGCATCCAAAGAACACCATACCTACTGTGAAGCATGGGGGTGGAAACATCATGCTTTGGGGCTATTTTTCTGCAAAGGGACCAGGACGACTGATCCGTGTAAAGGAAAGAATGAATGGGGCCATGTATCGTGAGATCTTGAGTGAAAACCTCCTTCCATCAGCAAGGGCATTGAAGATGAAACGTGGCTGGGTCTTTCAGCATGACAATGATCCCAAACACACCGCCCAGGCAACAAAGGAGTGGCTTCGTAAGAAGCATTTCAAGGTCCTGGAGTGGCCTAGCCAGTCTACAGATCTCAACCCCATAAAAAATCTTTGGAGGGAGTTGAAAGTCCGTGTTTCCCAGCGACAGCCCCAAAACATCACTGCTCTAGAGGAGATCTGCATGGAGGAATGGGCCAAAATACCAGCAACAGTGTGTGAAAACCTTGTGAAGACTTACAGAAAACGTTTGACCTGTGTCATTGCCAACAAAGGGTATAATGGTGCATCCAAAAGATGGCATCTGATTTTTGGAAATCTTAGTTTATCGTCAAGGAGTATATGTGAAGCAAGCATCATCATGCAAATGGTGCATCGTAGATGGCATCATGGGAAGGAAAAGTAGTGTGGATTTATATTGAAAGCAAATCTCAAGACATCAGTCAGGAAGGTTAGGAGCGTTGGTCGCAAATGAGTACTTCCCAAATGGACAATGACCCCAAGCATACTTCCAAAGGTGTGGCAAAATGGCTTAAGGACAAACAAGTCAAGTATTGGAGTGGCCATCACAAAGCCCTGACCTCAATCTTATAGAACATTTGTGGGCAGAACTGAAAAAGCGTGTGTGAGCAAGGAGGCCTACAAACCTGACACAGTTACACCAGCTCTGTTAGGAGGAATGGGCCAAAATTCACCCAACTTATTGTGGGAGGCTTGTGGAAGGCTACCCGAAACGTTTGACCCAAGTTAAACAATTTAAAGGCAATGCTACCAAATACTAATTGAGTGTATGTAAACTTCTGACCCACTGGGCATGTGACGAAAGAAATAAAAGTTGAAATAAATCATTCTCTCTACTATTATTCTGACATTTCACATTCTTAAAATAAAGTGGTGATCCTAACTGACCTAAGACAGGGAATTTTTAAGAGGATTAAATGTCATAAATTGTGAAAAACTGGAGTTTAAATGTATTTGGCTAAGGTGTATGTAAACTTCCGACTTCAACTGTATTTAAACAGCTCAAAAACCTTTCCTGTTGAGAAATGAATTGTAATAACATCATTAAAACTGTATGCATTCCTCTCAAAGTTGTGATTTACATATAGAGTGGTGAGAATGTTGTGTTGTTTCAAATCTTCAGTGGCATACTAAGCCTAACATAGAACATTTGTACTGAACACAATATAAATAAACATGTATGAGCTTTCCCTCTGTAGACTAAGAACCTTTCCACAAACAGTTGTACATAGAGCCACTGATGTCATTGCAGATGCTCAATATAAAAGAGCAAACAAAGTAAAACTATAATTAGTAGAGAGCTGACATTCTGAGTACTGATTAAAGCTCCACCTTTTGTATTTTCCTAAACCTGTCATAGGGCAGCAGTTTATTGATCTGACAGGGAGATGACAGAAGATGTGCAGACAGACCAGGCTGAACGCATAACAACCCTCAGGCCTTTTTATGAAAACTCCAGTATCTTTATCTTTGTGGTAGATAAAGATGATTCACCTGAAAGATCTTTCTTTCTTCTAAAAAGCTAAAGCTGTTGACTCATTCCAAAATGATTTTAGTTAACTGTCTGGCACATTTAATGGAACATTAATGCATACATTGCGTATGAACAGTATCAATCTCTATAAAATGAATCTGCAGAGAAATCAAAAACCAGGGACAGTCTGTACCATGGCTCAAAGTAAAACAAAGTTTCAGATGGTGTTCAAAATGTCAATCATTGACAGGAAGTGCAGGTATACTTACTTGGAGCTGGAAGGGATCCATCAACATTTCATGAGATCAGAACAAGAGGAAACCATGTGGGAAGGAGAAAAGACAAGAGAGAGACAGTGAGTGGGAGAGATAAAATGATAGTCATGTTGTCTCCTTGTACACATACAGCTGCAGTACAACACATAGCTGACAGGCACATGAACCTGAGAGCTGAGGATGATGCCAGAAGCAGTGAGGGGTAGTCCCAGTGTCGAGGGAGGCCCAGACACAGATGGCATTCACATGGCAATCTCTCACACTCATAAATGTTATACCTCGCACGCCGTACCTCAAACTGTTCAGAGTGAGGGGGAATTCAATAAGCGTAGAGAGTGAGAGATCAAATCCAGCCAATTCATGTGCACCTAACCACGGGGAGGCAGCCAGACACATCAATATGTGATGCCTTTTTCCTGTAGCTTGGAGGGAGAATTTACACTAAACAAAAACAATTGCCACTTCAACAACCCTCACACGTCTCTGGGCGTACATACATATACCTAGTGGATTGAAGTGTCATGCTTGGCAGATGGGCAAGAATAACTTAGTTTCAGCTTGTCTCTGGGAGTGGGGTGCACTCCATTTATCACATCATGACAGAATACACTGCAGCATATAACACACTGCTGACTTGTGTAAATATGTTGAGATGCCATCTCAACTGGACTACACAGCTTAGTAGGGGAAAAGTCATTTGTTTGTTGATATCATGTAGACAGGAGCAGGTGATATGCCCATTGGGGTGTCAGTCAAATGTTACTCTCAGCAATATAGTTTTCTTTGCTTGAGTTGTGACATTAGTGCTGTAGAAATTGAACATTGATATCCATATGATCACCTTCCACATGCTGGCCTCTTTGCCGTACACCACTGCCATGCTGTCCACCTTGTTCCTCTGGATGCTCAGCCTCTCTGTGTCGTTCAGCTCCTCAGCCACAAAACCCATGAAAGAGTTGTCTGGAGTGTGTGCTGTGAGGGGCAAACATAGCAAAGTGTCAGGCTCAATAAGTCAAAGTCAAACACTAAACTAAATCTTGACATTCAGTTTCAAATGCAACTCAGAAGCATGTTGAGTAAGATGTAGGAATAAAGAGACATAGTGGTTAAAGGAATAGTTTTGACTAGCTGGGACCACATCACCTAAGAGAAGGACAGTGGTCACTCCATAAACCAGGAATCAAAACAAGGCCTGAGTATTTCCAGTACACATGAAAAACAAAAAAGCCATGGCTTGCGATTACAATGTGTATTTCCAAAACAGCAGGACTTCCACAGAAGCTATGCTCACTGAGTTAATTGGAAGAGCACACACACAGCTGAAGTCTCCTCTCCTTCCACTGATCCCAGTTGGATGTCTGAGCTCTACGTGTGTGCTTGTGAGCGAGCGAGAGCCAAATGGTGCTAAGTTCTAGTGTGTTGCTCTACGCATCTGTTTGGCCACAGCTGCTGCTACCCTCCCAGGGTCCTCCTCGTCTCTCTGCCCTGAGCTTCCACTGTGAGAGGCCAGAGGCCTACACAAGCGCCCCACAACATCTGTGCCCACACACACACTCCAAAAGCCAAACCTCCACCAAAAGCCCTATTACCATGTCCCACTTTCTTTCTTTCTGAGGTTGATACCTGATAAACAAGTGCAACCCCATTCCCCTCACATCCAGTGTCAGAAGAGAGAATATGCTCAGAGTTCACTCACGGAACATGGTCATGTACTGCCTGCAGTTGAGGTTCCAGTAACCCCAGTTGGTCCTGTAGCCATGCAGGGTGGCGTAGTCCTCATGGTTGTAGGCCGGCTCTGTGCCAAATGTATCAATCACACGGATGTGGCACCTGAGAGACAGAGGAAAGAGATGGGAGAATGAATGAGTTCTGTATATCAAAATACTGGAACATAGATAGACATTGCCTCCTGTTGTTGCGATGACATAATATTTATCTGGTAAAAGCCCATGTCTAACAAGCAGTACTATGGGAACCAAGCCCACGAGACTTGGCCCATAAAGCAGTCAGGGGTGATGGATGTCACCGTGCCTCTCCTCTCCCTCAGTGTGCTGGGCTCAGCCTGCCCTCCAGGTGAGGGGAAATTGACTTTAAATCACACGCTGCTTTAGACCACTGCTAGGCCACTTCAAACCACAGGGGAGATAAATGGAGAGGACAGAGACTGGCTGGGCTAAGCTCTTACTCACAGCAATGTAACCACGTCAAGACACCGCAAGGATACCTCCCTTCTTTGGTGGGTCTCTGATATGGCTGGGGCATAATGTGTGAGAGGCTGCATCCTAATAGTCTGAAAAGGTTTCCTTTCGTTGTGTATGACCACTTACTGTACCTGACAGGATTGAATAGGAGAGAGCAATTTTGACAGGAGCACCACTAACATATATTACTTTGATTGTATCCTTTTAGTAGCAACGGTCATCGAAATTGTTAAAAGGTTTCAAAACAATTCTAATAAATGCAACAGCTGGACATTTACAGTGGAGGCTGCTCAGGGGAGGATGGCTCATAATAATGTTTGGAACGACGCAAATGGAATGGCATCAAGCACATGGAAACCATGTGTTTGGTGTTGTTGATACCTTTCCACTAATTCCGCTCCAGCCATTACCACGTGCCCGTCCTCCCCAATTAAGGAGCCACCAACCTCCTGTGTTGGACAATGGATGAAGATACTCCAAACTTTTAACATTTTTATAATCCATCAGATATTATTTTCCGGACAAATAATGAATCGAGTTCAGGGATTTTGGTGGGAATTCATGTATTCAATTTATTGTAAAATGTCACTTTTATATTTTCTTAGAATGCACTCACATTTTGTGTTAAATAAAGAAACATCTACAGTACCAGTCAAAAGTTTGGACACACCTACTCATTCAAAGGTTTTCTTTATTTTTACTATTTTCTACATTGTAGAATAATAGTGAAGACATCAAAACTATGAAATAACACATATGAAATCATGTAGTAACCAAAAAAGTGACCCGACCCAATTGAGATGGTTTGGGATGAGTTGGACCGCAGAGTGAAGGAAAAGCAGCCAACAAGTGCTCAGCATATGTGGGAACTCTTTCAAGACTGTGCCGAATTGGTCAATTGATACATTTTCAAGTACATAACTATAGAGAACATATAAAACTGATATGGTAATACACAATGTAAGTTTACACACTCCCAGGAATGTCATACATGATGGATCATTAGCTTATATACTAACTTTCACACATCTAGATGGCCGGGCGGGGTGGGTGTGGAGCCAGAGACAGCAGGGGTTCAAACTGTAGAACCCAGTTCCTACATTTGAATATAAAAATTGATTTTATCAAACAAAACTATGCTACATTTTATCTCTGGGACCCTTAGGATGACAAATCAGAGCAAGATTATTTACCTTCAGAAGTGAATGTATCAAACCAGTTGCCGTGATACATTTTTTGTTGTTGTGCACTCTCCTCAAACAATAGCATGGTATTTTGTCACTGAAATAGCTACTGTAAATTGGACAGTGCAGAAGATTAACAAGAATTTAAGCTTTCTGCCCATATAAGACATGCTCTACCAACTGAGCTACACAGGACCACGTTTATTTTTATTATTTTTTTATTTCACCTTTATTTAACCAGGTAAGTCAGTTGAGAACAAGTTCTCATTTACAACTGCGACCTGGCCAAGATAAAGCAAAGCAGTGCAGCAGTGTCTATGTCCTGGAAAGTTTGCTGTTACTTACAACAGTCATGCTAATCACATTAACGCACGTTAGCTCAACCGTCCCGTATACGGGACACCGATCCCGTAGAGGTTTAAAAAAGGTAGGGGCATAGATCAGAAAACCACCATTTGCCTTATGCAGCGTGACACATCTCCTTCGCATAGAGTTGATCAGGCTGTTGATTGTGGCCTGTGGAATGTTGTCCCACTCCTCTTCAACGGCTGGGGGAAGTTGCTGGATATTGGCGGGAACTGGAACACGCTGTCGTACAAGTCGATCCAGAGCATCCCAAACATGCTTAATGGGTGACATGTCTGGTGAGTATGCAGTCCATGGAAGAACTGGGACATTTTCAGCTTCCAGGAAATGTGTACAGATCCTTGCGACATGAGGCTATGCATTATCATGCTGAAACATGAGGTGATGGCGGCGGATGAATGGCACGACAATGGGCCTCAGGATCTCGTCACGGTATCTCTGTGCATTCAAATTGCCATCGATAAAATGCAATTGTGTTCATTGTCCATAGCTTATGCATGCCCATACCATAACCCCACCGCCACCATGGGGCACTCTGTTCACAACGTTCAAATCAGCAAACCGCTCGCCCACACGACGCCATACACGTGGTCTACAGTTGTGAGGCCGGTTGGACGTACTGGTCACATCACCCCAGGTATTGAGCACCCACTCTTGTTCAGAGCCCTCTGCTGAGCACTGTACTATACCCATATACTTCCCTGATCACATGAGAGTTCCCCAGTGTAAGGCGATAGTCGATTCAGGCGCAGCTGGGAACTTTATGGACAAAACTTTTGCACGCTGCCAGGGCATTTCATTAGTTCCCCTATCCATTCCACGCCCCATCAGAGCACTTGATAGTCGACCATTAGGGTCCGGGTTGATAAAGGAAGTCACGGTACCAGTCACCATGATCACACAGGAGACGCATTGTGAGCAGGTCACTTTTTCCATCATTGAGTCTGCTGCTTTCCCTGTGGTGTTAGGTATTCCATGGCTAGCACTCCACAACCACACTTTCTCATGGCCGCAGAGGGTTCTCACGGGGTGGTCGCGAGAGTGTCAGGGTAGGTGTATGGGTGTTTCCGTTGGTGCAACCACGGTGGAAAGTCCAGACGGTGCCTCCACCGTGCGCATTCCCCGCGAATACCATGATCTGGCACAAGTCTTCTCTAAAAATAAAGCGACTAAATTACCACCTCATTGGGCGGGGGATTGCGCAATAAACCTTCGGGTAGACGCTGTACCTCACAGGAGTCATGTGTATCCCCTGTCGCAGGCGGAGACGGAGGCTATGGAGACATACGTCACCGAGTCCCTGCGCCATGGGTACATACAGTGGGGAGAACAAGTATTTGATACAATGCTGATTTTGCAGGTTTTCCTACTTACAAAGCATGTAGAGGTCTGTCATTTTTTATCATAGCTACACTTCAACTGTGAGAGACGGAATCTAAAACAAAAATCCTGAAAATCACATTGTATGATTTTTAAGTAATTAATTTGCATTTTATTGCATGACATAAGTATTTGATACATCAGAAAAGCAGAACTTAATATTTGGTACAGAAACCTTTGTTTGCAATTACAGATATCATACGTTTCCTGTAGGTCTTGACCAGGTTTGCACACACTGCAGCAGGGATTTTGGCCCACTCCTCCATACAGACCTTCAGGTTTCGGGGCTGTCGCTGGGCAATACGGACTTTCAGCACCCTCCAAAGATGTTCTATTGGGTTCAGGTCTGGAGACTGGCTAGGCCACTCCAGGACCTTGAGATGCTTCTTACGGAGCCACTCCTTAGTTGCCCTGGCTGTGTGTTTCGGGTCGTTGTCATGCTGGAAGACCCAGCCACGACCCATCTTCAATGCTCTTACTGAGGGAAGACTGTGGTCCCAGTTCTCTTCAGGTCATTGACCAGGTCCTGCCGTGTAGTTCTGGGCTGACCCTCACCTTCCTCATGATCATTGATGCCCCACAAGGTGAGATCTTGCATGGAGCCCCAGACCGAGGGTGATTGACCGTCATCTTGAACTTCTTCCATTTTCTAATAATTGCGCCAACAGTTGTTGCCTTCTCACCAAGCTGCTTGCCTATTGTCCTGTAGCCCATCCCAGACTTGTGCAGGTCTACAATTTTATCCCTGATGTCCTTACACAGCTCTCTGGTCTTGGCCATTGTGGAACGGTTGGAGTCTGTTTGATTGAGTGTGTGGACAGGTGTCTTTTATACAGGTAACGAGTTCAAACAGGTGCAGTTAATACAGATAATGAGTGGAGAACAGGAGGGCTTCTTACAGAAAAACTAACAGGTCTGTGAGAGCCGGAATTCTTACTGGTTGGTAGGTGATCAAATACTTATGTCATGCAATAAAATGCAAATTAATTACTTAAAAATCATACAATGTGATTTTCTGGATTTTTGTTTTAGATTCCGTCTCTCACATTTGAAGTGTACCTATGATAAAAATGACAGACCTCTACATGCTTTGTAAGTAGGAAAACCTGCAAAATCGGCGGTGTATCAAATACTTGTTCTCCCCACTGTACGTCCCTCCACTTCACCTGCCTCCTCAAGTTTCTTTTTTGTGAAGAAAGACGGCGGTCTGCGCCCGTGCATTGACTATCGACCACTGAACAAGGAGACGATTAGATTTAGTTATCCTCTCCCCCTCATTCCGTCAGTGGTTGAGTCATTGCATGGAGCGCGATACTTCACTAAATTAGATCTCAGGAGTGCGAACAACCAGGTGCGTATCCGAGAGGGAGATGAGTGGAAGACAGCATTCAGCACAACCACGGGGCATCATGAATACCCTATGGTTTGATGAATGCTCCCTCAGTCTTCCAGTCCTTTGTGAATGAGGTGTTTCCGGACATGCTTGGTCGGGGTGTAGTGGTCTACATCGATGACATCTTGGTGTATTCCGCTACGCGCGCTGATCATGTGTCCCTGGTTCGCAAAGTACTGGCCCGACTGTTGGAAAATGACCTTTACGCTAAGGCAGAAAAGTGTAAGTTTTTCCAGCAGTCCGTCTCCTTCCTCGGATACCGCATTTCTACCACAGGTGTGGAGATGGAGGGTGACCGCATTGCA